ATATATATATATATATATATATATATATATATATATATATATGTGTGTGTGTGTGTGAATAACATATTAAAAGGAACAAAAACAAAAAAATAAAAAATAAGAAAAAGATAGAAGACCTACGCACACATATGAACTAGATGAAAATATAAAAATTAAAAGAAACCAACAACAAAAGGCAGCAAGAAAAGATGCACGTTGTCAAATCGGGTCAAAAGTTCGCAACAAAAACAAACACGTATGTACCTTCATGTCTCCGTGGTGTGTAAATAAGAACACACTTAACATACTCTGAATAAAAAGCTATAAGAAATATTCTAGCACTCCATCATCATCATCATCATCCATCCAACCACCAACGCATACGCGTATACCTATTTTTAGTGAAAAGTCAAAAAACAAAAAAAGAAGAATAAATAAATAAAACACTTAAAAAAAAAAAAACACCAAGATGAAAATTGTACTAGGTCCACACCGACTCCTTTGACACCCACTCTTCACTTACATGCTAAGCTTTATTGAATATATTTCGAAAGAAAGGGAAAAAGGAAAAAAGAAGCATTTTCTTTAAACATATCTATCTGTAATCATTAGTATCCTTTCGTCTAACTGTACTTTCCACGCGAACGTATGCCGCCGCGATTCGCGTAAAGTCAGACCATAATGCGTACACCGCGCGGACTTGACATATCTGAAGCCAAATATACATTATGTACATTAGTCGAAGGGTATCATACTTTACACTATATATATATATATATATATAAATATATATATGTATATATATGTGCGATAACACAAATAGCGTTAAAGGTTACATTTTTTTCGTCTTCAAAATATTGTTGATCTTGATTAAGAGTTCATTTTTGAAATGAAAAGAGTGAAGGGGGGAAAAATTCAACTCACCTTTGATATATTGAGAAGTTTTGAAGTGATACTAGAGAATAGACAAGCAAACAGAGATGATTGGCTTGAGTCCATTGTTAACGAGTCTGTAAAATCTTTATTTATGAATTAAAGATTTTTAACTTTATTTAATGCATAGTTTGCAGTATCTATAACACTATTATCAATGCATCTCATATATAATAAGCATACATGCTTATGTAATAACTTATTAGAACGATGAACATATCAATAAGATTAAGCGCAGATTTTACAAATATTACGATTTTGTTAATTACAAACAAACAGACAGACAATGACGACATTTGAATTTAAGTCAATGAGCAATCTGAGATTAAAGTTGTGTCTGAATGGACGGAGAGGTACATTTCTCACGTCGATTAATGTTATAGTTTAGTTTATGTCCGTTCTTTCTGCTTTTATATTCATTTCTATATATGTTAAGAGAATTGTTTCACAAAACTAGTTCGATTCCGGTGAAGATTCTATCCAACGAAAGTGAAGTGTGGATTTAGTAGGCTTTCAAAGATGAAAGTAATAGCAAAAATAAAAGCATAAAATACAAAATTTACTATTTCCCCGCCTTCCTAATATTTTTTTTAGAGAACTAACCTAAACCAATCTATTCACTCAGGCGCTGACCGAGTCTAAGAAATTCTTATTCTTCCTTTATATTAATGTTGTGCTGGTAGTAGGCGACCACAAGCCTTAATAGAGCAAACATCCATATATATATATATATATATATATATATATATATATATATATATATGCGCGCATATATAAAGAAACGTAAGGGAAAAAAGACAGACACAAGTTGATAATAATTTACACATACTTGACTAAAGTGCAAAGTGAAGTCAGTTAAGAGCAGAAAAAGCAAAAAAGCTTTTCCATCGTTTGTGTGCCTAAGAGTGAGTGCATGTGTGCGCTTGCATATGTGTACGAATGCATTAATGCCGGCTGCTGTGCCAAAACCAAACGCCTTTACAACACTTTATGACTAGATTACAATTTATATATACATACACATACATATGTTTTTATGTCTATAGTTATGTATGTATGAATGTATGCTATTGTTTGCCTGTGCATTTGTGCATATACGAGTTCTTCTGCTAAAACTGTTAATGTTACACAATTTACACAAACACCAAACTTGTCAATTTAATTAATTAAAAAATCATCGTCACAACTGTCAACCATATAAGACAGCGCCCAGCAAAAAAAAAAAAAAAATATTAAAAAAGATTAAAAATAAAATCAAAACACATATTAGCACACGCTCGGAAATGTCCTTTAAAAGCCTTTTAACATTATTATTACATGAAAGCATGAATGGACGTGCGTACGCGTGTGTATGTGTATGTGTAATTGTGGGTGTGAACGCTTATAAGCATAAAGCGTAAAAATATAATCATAACATGCAGCAGAGGTTTTTGTCTAAACTTTACTCTACAAAGTTTAACTAACACTCAGGTGAGTTTACCCGTCATTTCTTTATACCCGTTAATGACTCGGTCATAATTATCCTTGCTATCATTATGAAAAAGTTAGTAATTCCAGTTTGCATGTATTGAATTAAAGAAAAATTTTTACAGCGTTTTCCCCAAAATATGGCTTAAGAGCCGCGTAACATCGACTAATACTAATCAGCCGTTAAGCCATTTCATAACACGCGTCCAAAGAAAAAAAAAAAAGAAAACATGATATCTATTAATTCAGGCGAAAGCGATTTCGTTTTGAAAATGAGTGAAAATTCTGAAAAAGTCAACTATAGTCCATAATAAATCTTCAAGGAAAGTGAATAATGCTTCACAGCCTTATAAAGAAACTTATAGTGTGTGTGTGTGTGTGTGTGATGAAAATTCGTCCAAAATCTAAGTAGCATGCAAATCCTTTGCTTGTTTCCGTTCTGGACGTGCCAATCTTTGATCGACCAATTGTTGGGTTATTCTTCAAAAAATTGTGCAAGACTGGTACTGCGGTATCTCATCTTATGACATTGCTGCGGAAGTAATTATTCATTAGAAATTAATCAATGAATCATTTGCGCATAAGCTTGGATTGGAAACGAAATTCAAAATTCGCAGTTAAAGGAAAACAAGCAAGAAAATTATATTCGGCTGTGACTGAATCTTTTGTACCCGTTACCGTTGCTCTTATACTAAAAAAGGTAAAAAAAAAGATAAAACGTAAAAATTGAATTTCACAGTTGATAACGTTGGCTGGGCATAGATGGAATAAAAGTGAAAATTTTTATTGCGCGTCTGGTGTCGTTTGAGTGTAATGAGTCAAAAACCCGGAAAGCAAAGTTTTTCTTAGTTTACGCAGCATTACAGATGTGTTCTTTCACCGGTTTGAATCATGATGAAATTGCTTTACAAAATTGTAGGCGCTATCTTCATTTTCGTGCACAGGACTCATATTGTGCGGCGAAGCAAGTGGACAGGTGGACAGACGAATAGACAAGTATGGTTCCGAATTTGGCACAGGTCAAGAGTTTATATATATGTTATAAAGGTTTTGCAAAAAAAAAAAAAAAATTAATTTCGGATAGGTAAATAGGCGTGGCCGATTTTTTCCATTCATAAAGCATCCTCATGCCCATGGAATATGCGCTGAAATTTTAGGTGTAACTGCTATAACTAGTGAGTCTGGAGCAAAACCAATTTTTTCCGCTTTAAAAAGCTGAGATACGATATTGTGGGCCTGTTTCCTCGACCGATTTAGCTTATTTGTAATACCAATCTACTTATAAGAATTTTCAATATTTGTCCGAAGAGCGTTTTTCAACAGAAATTACAAGGACGAACAGAGCGACATGCTTACATATATCTGGAATTTAATCCTTTTCAATGCTTTAGGGGATCTATAAGATTTATGCTTTACCTTCCGTGCATTATATTTTAACAAGTAAGCTCGGATAATTGATTCGATAAATCGGTTAAATTCTTATCGTTTTGATCCTTTAACCTCTAGAACAGGGGCGGGCAAGTTTTTCCATCAAAGGGCCAATTTTAATTTTCCTATCATGGCAGGGGCCAAAATAGTATTCAAATTTTGGTTCAAAATATGGTATTTTCTATCAATTTTCCTTCTCTTTAAATCGCTCATCTTATGGCCTAATGAACAAAGCAGAAGCCATTTCATATTTAATGGCTGCACAGTTAGGTGTGCGATAGGGAAGCCAGGTACAATTAGCATTGCAACTGTGTGCGAGAAATTTGAATTAATTGCTTAATTGAATAACGTAGCGGGCCGGCCTCGACTGACTCGACAATGCCTGTCCTAGAAGAATATCTATTTCGATGACTTGGAAGCATATAAGTGCCGATGTTATCTATGATTTATTGTTTTTGTTCAATTCAATTGGTCAAACTGTATTCGAGAACTTAACAGCTTGAAAAATGAATGCATTGCAAAAACAAACAAAAACCTCACTTACTACCTTACAGTGATTCAATCATAAAGACTTTTCAAAATAAGGCGTTATATGGGAAGTGGGTCTAAAAATGGTTTAATACGCGCCAGTGCATTAAATTTCGTTAATATATATCTCAAAAATTACGTTTTGTCGGTTGAACTCAAGAAAACTATACAGGTAGATGGACGGATAGACGAGCTTAAATCGAATCAGAGATGAATTTAAAAAGTGACCTTGAATCGATTGGTATAATAAAAGTTGACTCTCCCTTGGCTCTAGTCATTCTGGGTGTTGCAGACAAACTTCGCACAAACCCTTGTATGAATATATTTCCAGTTATAGAGCTTACAAAGGCATACACAAGTCTACAGAGATTTTTGAATTTCTTTGATTTTCATTTCAATCCTAATGCCATTGTATAAATTTAATAAAAAAATAAAAAAAATAAAAAATATAAGAAAAAATGTATATATAAATATAAAGTAAAAAAACATTATTCCTTCCTTTTTATTCTTTTATGATAGCTGTAAAATGCGCCAATTTTTTAACTAGGTCTCTCTGCCTTACTTATATAAATGACAGCGTACATAAATCAGTACTAAGCGACACGTTTTCGCCACTGTTTAGTGTGCTTTTTATCGTTTAAATATTTTATTTATTCAAAAATGTATGAAAAATGTCAAATTTGCTGTTGAAGGGACTATAGCACAATAAAACAGCATATTCTCTTCCACTCTAGCATCATCTATTTTAGCTACCAAAGGCGTTCACTCATATCATGGTTAGATTGCCATAATTTTTCATGTGACGCATGACACGCATTGAAGTGGTATTTTAAAAGCATAAAATAAAAAAAAACAAAAAAAAAAATTAAAAAAAAACAAAAATAAATAAATAAAAAAAAGTGGCAACACTATGAGGAGAGACAGCAAAAGTTATGATAGAAAAAGTAAAAAAAAAAACAAAAAAAAAAATGAAGAGAAATAGAAGAATCAAGAACACTTGCAAAAATGTGCCTCTTGAGAGTATATTTCAGTTTAATTTAGTCTCTTCGTTCCACGTTTTTATAACAATTTCTTCCTTTTTCATTTCCATTACTTAACTACGGGGCATATACCACTTTTATCGTTCTCTTTGTATTTCCCTTAATTTTCCCTAATTCCCGCACTTTCATAGTCGCAGAAACTTGAAACTTTTATTTAACTAGATTACGTTAACTACTATTTCTTTCTGCTTTCTATGAAAGCGGCCACTCTTGCGTATACACGTAGGCACGGTGGTGATCAGGAAGGATTTTCAATTATTGATAATACTGTTGTGCGAGTAAGATAATTTTTTTTATATTTTTTTAATAACATTAACAATCACTCAGTCAGCATTTCATCTGTTCGCGTAATACGTGAAGTGAAGAAAGAGAAAGAGATGGGGAGGGGGGCGCAGTGTAGTGAGTGTAATGTCTTTATTACCGTCTAATCATTCACTATATACTTGTGACCAAAATAAACGCTACCGCCTTGATTTAATTTGAACTCGCAAACACTGACTTGATAATCGCGCAATATCTTATCTACTCGGCTACTTATGCGGATGAGTAATGTAATTCACTCAGTGCCATCATAGCTGATCCGTACAATTAAATTATTTCTTAAATAGTTCATGAAAATCTGATCAAAAGTATAGTAAAAACTTACTAACATCATCGATTTTTGTAGTTTCGGTTCATTATTCAATTTTGAAAATGAACTTGATTTGCTCACACAAAGCAGGTAAAAAAGCTAAGACTATTTAATCATTATTACTTCAAAAATATGCTATCGCATCAACTCAAGGCTTATTAAATGAGACAATCAATAAAGAAAAAGAACAAAAAGCGCAAATTGAAATATATTTTTATTTCGAGCAGTTTTCGCCGCGTGACATAACTCGTATCCACAATTAAAAGGAAAATACCTAAAGTAATGAGCGATGAGATTTCACCTTAAAGTATTATCATATATATTTTCTTACTGGTTATATATGGTTATTTTGATAACTATAAAATGTTGAAATATACTACACACGCACAGACATGACATACACAGCCATATGCCAAATTTATATATAGCACATCTTTCTTTTAATCTTATACATACGTGCAAGCAAAACAAAAAAAAAAAAAGCTTTGAGGATCCTTGAAACTTTATGCAGACGTAACTTGCTTGCTTGATGCTTCGAGTGCAAAGTGCGACGACGTTGATTGTGTTGATGATGATGGTGATGATGAAGGTGATGCCGGCAAAAAGTTTCATCTCTCTTGATTGCTAGATAAATACCTGAATAATATATATAATAAAAAAGGAAATGTTTATGTTATATCGAATTTAAAAATTTCACCTTCGCATTCATTTCATAAAGAGATAAGAGGGATACAAGAATATATATATATATATATATATAAATATAAAAAGGAAAACAAAACAATTTATAGATCTTTGAAGTTTATAAAATTTTTCTTTATCCGGAAGTGTATTAAGTTTACGGTCTGATTGAAATACGAGGATACGAAATGCGTAACAAGGCTCGCGTTAACAACATAGGCGTTGAAAGTTTACGTTATTTATAAGATATCTCGCCATATGAATTCATTGAATTGATGAACGCTGATTTAATATTTGTGCGTTATTTGTGTTTCGCTTAGCAGGAATGACTCTTAAGATATACTTGACTGCAAACTTTTTTTTTTTTTCCCACATTCATTATTTTCAAAAAGGGAAAGATAAATCATGTGCCCTAAATTCGTATCGAGAGATTATCGATCCTTGTTCACTCCAATTTTTCATTTTCAACTGCTCGCCCTTATATTTATATTTTGGGCTATCATATAAGATTGACCCAAGTAACTTAGTTTTTAAAGGTAGTTTCAATTTTATATATTCACGAGATACCTATTCATTCTATTTAAAAAAACTTAGTTTGAGGTTTTGACTTCCGCTCATGTGTGTGTGTGTGTGTGTAGTGAATGCAAATTTGTGGCTTATTTTTAAAAGAAATTATAAATAGCAAATAAAAATAC